CGGGAGAAATATCTTTGAAATTTTGGCCAAAGCTTTTCTACCAGGAAAGACTATTTGTGTCCAGGTTTCCTGGGACTGTGTTTGACTGTTCAGCAGTGTCCACAGATGGTAGAGTCTGCCCCATCAGTACACACGGCCCCTGGCCCCACTGTACGGGTGGGGCCTGGACTCGGTAACTTCAGCTGCAGACAGTGAGGCCACCACCTGGGCACTGACCCCACTCCTCTTTAAACTGTGCAAGGCTCACGAGAACATGTTCATGGACAAGTTAATGGCCAGCGACATGAGGGAAAAAGTAGAGATGCTTTATTTGATTCTAACTTTTTAGCATTCACTGACATGGGGTGGTCTCTGATCTACGGGGAGGTCGGATTTAGGAACAGCTGGCTCATTTCATGGGCGAACATGCCTGTAATCAGTCACAGTGAGGTCCTGCAGCCCGACAGCTCGCTACACACACTGCCTTCCTCTGCCCTCACTTTGCCTCTGATAGAAGTTCAGGGCTGTAAGCCAAGTGCTCCGTGTACTGTGCTAAAGACTGAAGCCAGAGAGGGAAAGTGACTTCACAGAGGCCACACAGCATCCCGAGCAGAACCAGAGCTGGGACCAAGTTCCTGTGACTCCTTTATGGCCTTCTACGTCATCTCTTTCATTTTCCAAAATTGGATGGAAGGATGGAAAAAGAGGTCTCCTTTTTGACCTACAGCTTTTTTTCTTTTTTTCAGAAGGACTTTGTATTACACTGTTGTGAGGGGAGTGGGTAATAAAAAGTGGCAGTATTATTGAGGCAACATAACAAGATGGGAAGAACACAGGACTGGTGTCAAAAGGGGTCCTTTAACTCTCGCCTCCTCTGTAACAGGCGTAAGAAGCCATGTGCTAATTCTCTTGCAGGGTAAAGGTGATAAGCTCATGAGGTCAAGAAGGTAAGAGCACTAGGAAAAGTGTCAGAAATTATCTCAAGGTAAGATCTACATTCATTTAAGGTTACAGGTATCATTTGCTAACAGTTAATTCAGGCATAAATACATATCAAAATGACCAGTGATGGAGAGTGGCAGGTCCCAACACCTGCTGCATGTCAGGAATCACCTGTAAAGCCTACCAAAAACAAACAAAAAAACCCCAAAAAACCCCAAA